ACCATGTCAGGAGTATGGAAAGCCACAGATGACAAGGTACAGATGTCAAGTCCATCCTTTGTTAAGCTGTACTTTGAGCCCCTGCTTACTGCAGGGAGCTCCTGCAGACAGTGCTGACATGGGTATGAGACCATCCCAGCGTCCTTGTGGATCCCTTGCTCTGTGTCACTGGAGCACAGACTGAGCCCCTGAAGCCCTTTTTTGAGGGAGCCTTTTGATGTGTCCTCATCTGAGCATTTGATCAACTAAACAAAACCAGTCCCTTTGTTCAGATAGCTGGAAGGGTTTACAGGCAGAGAAACTGGGGCTGCTCTGCTGCTGCTCTCTTGGGTCTGCCTGGTCAGTGAGTGCTGGAGTGCAGCAGCAATCTCCAGTGGGATCTCCTGCCCAGGCCTCAGACACATTTTCTCAGTTGAACAGCTGCTCCCTGCCCAACATCCCCATCACTGGAGCTCCACCAACTTTCTGCTCATTTCAGTTGGACTTTGGCTTCTTTCTGCTTTCTGTACCATGTTCTCTGCTTCATTTCTGATTCAGCTGTCTGCTGCCAAACTCCACTGTGCTGTACAGAGCCCTCTGACCAGTGCTGCCTGGATCAGGCTATCTTTGTGTCACAGGCAGCTTCTTTCTTTTTCTCTCTTGTTTTCAGAACAATGAAAATACCAATTAAACTTTCTGGTATTTCAGGTGAACTGAAGTATGGAATTCTTTCTATTTCTGCATGAAATGATGGAATGATTTTTAAATGTTTTATATTCCTCCTTTGAGACACACTGGACCTAGAAATGCACTCGGAAATAGAGTACATTTACTACAACTATTATTGATCAGTGCCCTTTGGCTGGCATCCAAATAAAAATTTCTTAATTGTTGAAGCAGAGTGTGGGTGTGGAAGGGTGTTTGTGTAGCAAGGGTTCTGCCTGCCAGAATAGGTGGACAGTACAGCTAATATATTTGTTTGACTTATGAGAAGCTTGTCATTTTTTATCAGCTGAATTACACAGAACTCAGTGTCTGGACAGTGCAGCCTCGGGGCTAGTGCTGGTCAGGGGGTGGTGAGGGGCATGTACTGCCTGTCAGCTCCACCCCTGCACTGCCAGAACTTACCCACTTGTGTGTGCCACTCATGCAGCCCCTCAGGAATGCCCTCATCACTGGGAGCTCTCTGGCTCACAGATCACAGTGCCCAGATCTCCTGCAGCAGTGCTGAGACAGACTGAGGAGAGCCAGTGCTGCTTTCCAGGCTGGCAATACAAAAATAGCTATTAGAAGGTTCTTTAGTAAGAAGTAGGATTCATTTGGGCAGTCTGAGACCCTGCCTCGTGCACAGAGGGGCTGTTGGAAGAGCTTATCTCTGTCTCAGCTTCAGCTCTCAGCCACAGTTCTTCCAGGGAAAGATGGAAGTGTTAATAGAAGGATGTCTTTAAAAATTCCTGTTAAACTTCCTGTGTATATAAAAACCAAAGTCTCCAGCCCATTGTCTTTGTTCCCAGCTAGATCTTTAAACACAGTGCTTTTTACACCTGCTGAACTGGGCTGGGAGTTCAGCACCCACCCACTGGGGTGGGGTGGTATTCCTGGAGTGGCCAGGAATGCTCCAGCACCCAGCTTCATCTGCAGCACTGGGCACAGCAGCTGAGGGACCTCTCCAGCCAAGGGCAGGCACAGCAATAGCTTTGGAAATACTGGTTTGAATGTTCAGAGAAAAATGTGTCTCTGGTCACTGTATTTTCAAGTTTCTCTTTATCATCAGAACACCCCAACCCCAAAGCTCTGCGTGTCTGCTCTGCCTTTGGGGTGTCAGGGGGAGCACAGGGGCATTGCCCCATGACTGCACTGAAACAGTGCCAGTTAAATACCATTATCTCATTACTTTTAGATCTCTTCCTCTTGAAGATAATTTTGGTATGTGTATGTTGCTACAGACAGCAGCAACAGCTCACCTGTCCTAGGGGTGATAAATGTTCTGTTCTGCAGAGGTAAATGTGGCATTCAGAATTGCGTATTATTAAGATGACTCTCTGATGATAATGATGAGCTTATCTAAGGCAGGAACAAATTTCTCACCAGATTGCCCCCCCCCCATTTTCTGAAGTCTTGAATACCAACAGACTGGATTCTTAACCGGGTGTGTTTCTATGCTGGTAGTTACTTACTTTTGTTTAACATTTACTTAGTGCCTCTCTGTTTTGTTTTCCCAGGGAAAGCATATATTTTAACATCCTCACAAATCCTCTTTCACTAGTCCTGCCTACTGACTGGACTCTGAGAATTTGAGGAAGAATCCAGGTTGCTTTTTCCAGCTAAAGGCTTGAAAAATGAGATTTGTGCTTTACTGTTTTACATAAAATCAGTCATATATTTGGGTTCTTTCCTGTGTACTTTGAGTCACATGGGCAGTAATTCAGTGGTTTACTCCTAGAATTGTTCTTCAGAGTGTGTTGTATATATTTACAGTAAACACACTGTGAAGGTTGTTACTGCCCTTTGCAGTGTGACATAAGAAAGACAATACTGTTTTTAAAATACAATTTTCATTTAGTAAACTCTTGGAAAAGTATTGAAAAGCAGGGGAAGTCAGGGAAGGCAGCAGAGGCTGTTCTGGGGGTGAAGAGACAAGGCAAGGGAAGCAGAGTGTACAGAACACCAGGGGTGAATGACAGGTCTCATTTGTCACTGACCTGTGTAAAAATAGTTTGGGTAGTTCCTCCTCACCATTCCCACCCGTTTGGACAGGCACTCAACTTTATTTTCATTTATGACGGGATTTTGCCCATCATCGTGCTTTGAAGGCCCTGCAGAGTTTGGTTTTCCATGGTAGAGGAGTCCCCTGGGCTGCAGGAACCTCACTGCCCAAGGAGGGAGGACTAACAAAATCCCAGGAGCTGGGTGTTCACAGAGCAGATGTTTCTGCATGACATGCTCATCAGGATTTGTTTTCTGAAGTGTTAGTTACAACATTAAAACTGCAAAGTTTGATGGCTGCAAAACTTGGCTATAGCATTAATTAGCTCTTAACTTGATCCTGCCGAGTTTTCATGCTTATTTATGTGTGATATATGTGGAAAGTTTTTCTTGAGGCATTAATTTTCAGTAAATTTTTCTACAGTTAAAGAGACAGTAAGTGGTATCAGCAAGCCACACTCCTACTGATGCACTTCTATAATATCTTTTTCAATTATAACCTTATCAATGTCTACCTTAATATTAATCCCAATACAGATCAAGAAATAAGAAAGCAGGATACAGAATAGTGTGATGCTGTTGATAACTAAAGTAGTAAAACAAATGTGCAGTGGCACAAATGGACCATAGAAAAATCTCTTGAGAATGGGCTGTGGGGCAAGAAAGGTGTGAAGGTTGGGCTTTTTTTGGCTAAATTTGATTTTTTTTTTTTAAGTCTGCAAGTGTTGCTAATGAATTTTAAGTCTCTTTCTTAAGACTTAATGAGGGAATAAAAAATGTGATACACAACTCCAGATAAGACCAGTTATAGTGCATTTCTGTCACTATGAAGCTTAATAAGTAATGTTCCATGTTAACAGATGTGCTTGGAGGTGGGGCTGCTATCTTTTATTGTTATAACTCCTGAAAGGTATCACAGAGAATTTGAATTCTAATTTCAGTTTCATAAAGACTTGACATTAAAATTCACAGTTGTGTTTTTCATACAAAGGGATTAGTGCAGCTGGAGATGGGAAAACTGTGTGTAGAATTCTCTTCCATATATCCTATGGAATCATTTTAATATCCACTTCACCCGCCTTTATCAGCTGTTGCTGGAGGTGAGGCTGTGTGTTAGGATGTGGGGAAAGGAGTCATTTATCTCTGCATTTCATTGGTGTTCTTAATTGAAAGTTAATGTGCTGTTACAGCAACCAGCTCACAATTAAGTGCTTCAGATTTTGAGAGGTGTCTGAGAAAATGTGGGGTTTCCTGCTGTCCAATTAGCAGAGCAGCCTCCTGGGTGAGCAGGGACATGGGAGGGGACTGGGATGGGTTTGGTGATTACCTGGAGATTGGCAGGGCCTCAGGTTACTTAAAAAGAAAAATTGGCTGCTAAGTCCTGAGAGCAGAAGGTAATGATGGTGTCCTGAGCGTTTGAGAACAACAGGTTTGTGGGATTCAGAGGCCCTGAGAGGTTGTCTGTGCTACCATGGAAATTACTGCATTTCAGCTTTGAGAAGACCTTCCATATAGGTTTGTTCACCAAGCACTATTAAGAATTATTTTGTCACTTCATTTTTCCCCTCAAAAAAAAAAATAAGAAGAAAAAAAGAAATGGACTTGAATTTTATTTATTGGGTAATGACAGGTTGATGCTTGTGCAAGCCTGGGGCTTTGGTGTGCAGTGCTGCATGATTGCTGGACAGGCAAGGCCAAGTTCACAGGTTCCCTCTGACAGTTTCTGCAGTCACTGATATGTGCAACTCTAACAACTCCAGTAGCCTTTCACTCTGTCTTGCATCTTCTGCCTGTGCCATTCTCTTGTGCAATATTTTGAGAAATTCAGAGCCACATAAAGTGTCATCTTTTACTTGCTAAGTGTGACTGAGCCAGGCTTTGTGCTGAACCTGCTGCACACAGCCTTTTCAGTGTCTGTGGCTGTGAATATTGCTGAGCAATCTTGTGGCTTTGCTTGTTTTTCCTAAGGTAGTAAAAAATCAGAAGTACCGGCTTTGACATTAAATTCTTGGTTTGCATACTGGCTCTGAAAACTCTGGCCCAGTTTAAGGTGTATGACTGGACTCACCAGGAAAGCAGAGAACTGTGTTTGCAGCACCTCTGTGACTGTGTTCCCCTTGGTGTTCAGGTTCAGGGAGCTGCAGATGTGCACTGCCCATATTTTACTGAGATCTAGTAGGTTTGTCAGTCTACTTTGCCTCCTAATTGTTCATCCAAGGTGATGAGATAGTAATAATTGTGGTATAAATCAATGCACCTTCAACTTTATGGTGAAGGTTACAGGGCTAAATTGTCTTTTAACTCTCTCCTGTCAGGAATGTCAGTTCAGATGGAGCAGAAGCACGCAGAAGACTGAGGGAGTGTGATGGCTTGGTGGATGCCCTCCTTCACGCTTTGCAGTCTGCGGTTGGCAAGAAGGATACAGACAATAAGGTGAACTTGAATATTAAAACTTAGTGGATATTTCCATTAATTTAGGTTGAAGTGTTGCACTGGGATCCAACTTCTCTTTGCTAGTATCAGAAGAGGATTATGCTGGCCTCAGAAAATAGAGCAATTATCCTCCTCTCTGGTATCCATGGTACCACGGTGGGTACCAGCAGGATGTTGCTGTTTCCTTCCATGGCTGAGGAGGGGAGCAAAGGCTGGGGGCTGAGAGATGGGGAGAGCAGTCCTTTATTGTCAGGGACATTATTGCTGTTGTTCTGCATTGCTTATTGGCATTTATAAGGCAGTCTCCAAATCAGAATTGAGTCCCATTTGCACAAAGCAGCGAAGGAGTCAGTTCCCATTTTAAAGACTTTATTCAGCACCATCTCTAAAGACTGTAGTGCACAGACATTAAGAAATGCCTTCAGACCTACAGCACTTTCACTGTGGCTGTTTTTTGGTGCAGATTTTATTAACCTGTTTTTATCTTCATCTTATCCCGTGGCACTTAAAAGTGTATTTATATGCATAAGGAATATCATAAGTTTAACCTGTTTAAATAAAAGCACACTGTTGCTTTGTAAGGCCTGTAAAGCATCATTATTTTACTCTTTTTGAGTCCCACCATGTGATGGCCCGTACAGGAGAGTTATAAAGCCCTGTCACTTAATCAGGTAATTTTGGAAGTGGATTTTGTAACCACCTGGTGGTTTCCTTTGCAACCTACAGGGATTTGCTCTTGTCAGAACCCGATGTGCTGTGGATTAGCTATTGCTACAGGACAACATGTGTTCTCATTGAAATCCCCCCAGGGCCTAGGTTTTGACCCAAAGAAAATTTAATAAAATGGACCCCTTGGGGATGGTGAATGTTGGAAGAACGAGAGAGAGGCTTGTATTAAAATCAGATCCTTATATGATCTTTTTCTGCTGTGTGTTTGATCTTTTGGTGAATTGTATTCTTTGTTAAGATCAAGTGGTATTTTTGATTAGAGAGTTTTCATTTTGAATGGGTGCTATTTATGAAGTGCTTCACTTTTCAAAGAAAAAAATTGGGTCTAGAACAAGAATGAACTTTCATTTAAGGATCTTGTCTAAATCTTCCTCGAAAGCTGGGGTTTTTCCCTGGGACAGGTGGGCCTTTTCTTCATCTCCTCCGAACCCTCCACTGTACAGTATAGTGACCTGTAAATAGGAGGGTTCAGGACTTCTTGTAACCCCAATTTCTCTGTGACAGTCTGTGGAGAACTGTGTGTGCATCATGAGGAACCTTTCCTATCACGTCCACAAAGAGGTCCCCGGAGCTGATAAGTACCAAGAACTAGATGCGGGTCAGACCACGGGCACAGGAGGCTCTCAGAAGAAGAAGAAAGATGATGCTGGTTGTTTTGGTGGAAAAAAAGCTAAAGGTATGTGTTGCAGAGAGCTCAGAACTGGAAATGGGGTAAACATTGCAGTGCAGTCCTGCTCTCGTTGCACCTTCATCGTGCCAGTGTGGAGGGATGCAGTTTGGGAGGTCCATGTTTGCAGTATCATGGCATGTGTTTATCCCCTGTGTTGCATCACTACTAAATATTTGGGATTTTTTTTCCACGATTGATGTAGTTTTGTTTGGTTTTAAATAGGAGTGGTGCATGCTGACAGGTGACACTGCTGTTGGAAAAAGGTGGATGTGCTCTGCCTCCCCTCTGCCTTCCTGTGTTCTTACATCTGTCAGATCTGTGCTTAGTCCACTTGCTTGGCTGTGTTGCTTGTGTGCCAGGCTCAGGAGGCCAGGCCAGCATGCATCCATCCATCCCTGGGCATGGCATGCCTGGCTGGACATCTTCCATGCCCCAGTCTCTCATACTTGAAAACAAGACTGAAAGCCTCCCTTCCCACTCAGCCAAAATGTAAACCTCCTAATTCAGTCACTCTTTCAGTAATTTAAATTGCAAACATGATTTTGTAGCTTTTAATTGTCATTCACTTTTAGACCTGTTCTCTCCTCTGGGGCATGAGTGTTGCAAATGAGTTTCATTATAAGAGAGGATTAATAGTCTCAGTAAACCCCCTTCAATGTTTCCTTCACAAAGAGACATTCAAATTATATCCGTTTTCTTTGTTGTTTTAGAGAAACTGCTATTCTAGACTGAATTCTGTTTTCTTTGTTGTTTTAGAGAAATGACTATTCTGGATGAATTCAGAGATAAAGTAATTCAGTTTTCTATCTTGGCTTCATTCTCCTCATTCATGTGTACACACATCCTGCCTTATTGTTCATAGCCAGGTAGCAGAAAGGGTTTTGGCCCTAAAAAGCTGACATGGAGTTGTTTGAGCTTGACAGGCTGTGTGCTGCACATGACTCTCTCTGTGGTCTGACCTGTGCACTATTCAAATGCTTTGTTTCCATGGGTGTTAGGGAAGTCACCAGTGGGAACTTGCTTCTGCAGACTAGTCTGTCATCAACTAGATTTAAACTGCTTCTTTGAAAAAAAAAAAAAAAATTTATGGGAATCTTTTAATGACTGGGGGAAAAACTAAAGAAATGATAGTACCTGGCTGGGCAGCCTGCTCTCCCAGTGAGTGAGTGACCCTGCAGTGATGCCCTCTGGAAACCTTGCATGTTCTGGGGCTCCAGCCTGTTCTGCCACTTGCAGTCCCTGTTGTTTTGTGGCTAGAGAGCAGCCCAGTCAGGGGGAACGTTTTTGGCCATGAAGCTCAGGGTGCCCTGGGGGAGCAGGGCAGTGCTGGTGGGGGGCTGTCCCCGTCCCCTTGAGGGCAGTGCCAGGGGGCTCTCAGGTGATGTCCTGAGTCGAGTGTCTGCTGCCTCTGGGCCGACCTGGAGAGACACCTTCGGTGTCTGCACGCCCAGGGAGTGCTGGGTATCATCTGAACCATCAAGGCATGTCTTTTTGCACAAATTGGCCTCACAATCATCTGATGCTGAGGATGAACCTGTGGATTGCAGTGAGCAGTGCAGGCACTCAGTGACAGCCTGGGTTTGTCGCTGTGTGTTCAGCAGGAAATTTCCATTTCCAAAGAAAATTTTAATGATTTTTCCCCCTTTTTTGCAGTGCTCTTTTTAAAATGTGCTGTTCCCCAGAGGGAGATCAGCTGCTGATAATGCTGAGCTCACAGCTGCTGGGATGTAGGTCAGAAGGGTAGAGGGTAACAGACTGTTGTGTTTACAAAGTAAAAATCAAAATCCGTTCATAAATGTGCTTTTGAAATCATAGGCAGAGGCTCCCTTATCTCACTGTTAAATGTATGTGGGTACTGGTCAGAACCTGCCTTAATTTTTTCAGTCTAGGACTTTACAATAGATCAGTTCTTTCTCTCCCTTCTTGTTCACTTAATCCTGCAGTGTTTCCATGTTTATTTTATTTCATGGTCATTGATCACAGCATTTCAAACACCTTTGCAAAGGGCTAGTCATCCTTCCGTGCCCTCAATTCTGTGAGCACCTTTTCATTTAATGAAAAGAGAAAGAAAAAAAACCATGCAGAAAAAGATTGGGGTTTTCAGCAGGAACAAAAGGGAGAAAGTGGAATATCTTGTTTTGATTGGGGTTTTTTAATTGATGAAACTTCTACAGTAATCCTGTAATACTCAGGTTTTGAACCTATTCTGTGAAATTCTGCCTCTTTGTGACTGTTCCTTTGTATTTTCTTCATCCTGTAAATTTTTGTTTTCCTTTTGCTGCTTTTCTGGTAATTAGAGGAGTGGTTCAATCAAGGTGAGTCTGCAATACTTTCTTTCCTCATCTCCATGACATGCTTTGTTCAGCTTTCCAATGCAAGGCTAAGAGCTGACATGAAGGTCTTGTTCATCCACCTTCTCCTGTGCTCCCCCAGCACAAATCCTGTTCTTTGCAGCAGACAGAGGAATCCTCTGAGGGAGCTTTGGCAGCTTGGTCTGTCCACAGCACGAATAGAGATCCCAGGGTTTTCCTCCTTCCTGGTTTGAGTGCAGTGAGGGAGCTGCTGTGCAGTGAGGGAGCTGATGTGCAGTGAGGGAGCTGATGTGCAGTGAGGGAGCTGATGTGCAGCTGGGCTGCTGACCCCGAGAGAGGGCCCAGCACAGCGAGCACCTCCCCAGCCCTGTCACACCAGGGACAGCTCTGCTGGCTGCTCTGGGCAGGGAACCCTGAGTGCCAGGAGTCCCAGCACCTGGGGGCTGTGTGCTCAGGCAGGGAGCCCTGAGTGCCAGCTCCTGGGATGTGTGTGCTCTGGGCAGGGAGCTCTGAGTGCCAGCTCTTGGGATGTTTGTGCTCAGGCAGGGAACCCTGAGTGCCAGCTCCTGGGATGTGTGTGCTCTGGGAAGGGAGCCCTGAGTGCCAGCTCCTGGGATGTGTGTGCTCTGGGCAGGGAGCCCTGAGTACCAGGAGTCCCAGCACCTGGGGTGTGTGTGCTCAGGGCTCCTGGGCACTTTGGCTGCCTGGGCACTGACTGGGCTGCTGCAGCTTTGTTGCTTTGGAGCAGAAGAGGTGGGTGCAGCTGCCCCCAGTGCCTCGGGGGAGACACCCTTTAGTTTCTCATCCCAGCACAATAAGTAAAATTACAGCTGGAATGCACAGGTCTCGAGGCTAAATCTTCCCTGCCTTCTCTGCTGGGAAGTTGATGGGCTGTGAGTGCCCTGGAGACTGTCACTGAGGCTGATTTGGGGGGTGAAGGCAGCTTGTGACACTTGCTTCAGATCGTGGGTTCCGGAGGGTTGAGCCAAAGGAGAACGCTGGAGAGAAAAAAAAAACCAAACAAAATAACCAAGGACCCAACAAATGGTGCTTGCTAGTGTTCTGTGAGACATGGATTGCAGACTGTGACTGGGGAGCTGGTGGAGGATGAGCTTGTTGGCAACACAGAGCTCAGCCCGTGCCTTCTGTCGCTCTGCAGTCGGGTCAGTGGGTGTATTAACAAGCACAGTATTGACTGGGGGGGTAGAGGAGGTGTTAAGAAGAATCACTTTCCCTTACAACTTTTATTTTAACCAGAAAGAAAGCATTTGAGAATTATACCTTCAACAGAAGCAGTCTGGCTGCAAAGCTGGTTTGATTATCTGGTAAATCCAAACGACATTTGAGGAAGATCAGCAACAACATTTAGTGGTTAATAACACTGGGTCACACTTGAGAGTCTGTGCTGAGTTTCTGACAGATTGAAAATGCCGAAGGTCGTGTTTTGGTTGTTTCTTACATAATAAAAAGTAGTGAGGGGGGAGAGGGAAAGAATTTTAATCCCACTGTTTCAGAGACTGTAAATTGCATCTTGCACAAGCAAGTCTCATGTCAGGCAGTTTTCCCAAACCAGAGTGCTGTGCCAGTTCCTACAGCCAGGTCTCATTAAACAGCCCTGTCAGGCATGTTCAGAGCTCTGTCTGTCTCCTGGCAAAGGTTGGAGCTGTGCTTCTGATCCAACAGCAGCGGCTTTCCTCTGACATGCCTTGGGCTGGAAAACTTGGAGAACCTGGGGATGCATCAAAGGGTAGACACTGAAATGTACAAAACCAGGATCTTAAACTTCTCTTCCCCTGCACAAGCGTGGCCATTGAGCATCCCTGTGGTGATGCACAGCAGCACACCCTGGATGGGAGGATCTGGGAAGCGACGTGTGCTCCATCCAAATGTCAGCCAAATACAGATACATACAGATGTGGGCTGTGTGTGTGTCCACATCCCTGTTGGGAACAAATGCAGGAGCACTGCCAGCAGGGTTGGGGGGCAGAGCAGCATGTTCAGAGCTACAGAATCTGGTGGTGAAGCTGGTCATGTGCTGTCAGTTGGCGTGGGGATGGCTGAGAGGTTTGCCATCAGTAGACTCTTGAACTTGCTAAATTTGGTCACCTTTTTAGAAACTCCAGTATTTGTGGTCCCTGTGAAAATCAAATGGGAGAAATACCAGCTGGGCTGCAGATTGAAACCTTTGCCTTTCTGGGTGGTTTTGTTTTGGAGTCTTCTTACAGCTTGGTCACCTCCTCTCTCTACGAAAGCTCTGGAAAATGCAGTGTCTGGGGTATCTCTGAACCTAGCCTTGATGAAGCAAGTGATTTGTGGAGTTGGAATCCCCTTGGTCAGAGCTGTGTGTTCTGAACTGCTGCCATGGGCAGACAGCTGGCCTGGCCTGCAGGGTGGGAGTGTCTCAGAGGGCTGAGGGACAAACAGCCAAGGCTGGGGGAAGCCAGGCCATGTTTGCAGGCTGGCCCAGACCTGAGGGGCAGGGACTGCAGAGACACAGGTGGAAGGGGCTGTCTGAATGAAAGATGGGGTAGGAAATGAGCAGCTGCTTTGGCATTGCCAGCTCAGAAGAGGTAGCAGCCAACACTGCACTCCTGGACAATCTCTTCCTTAACAAGCTGTGCACAGACACACAGTCCTTACTAAACACTGCCAGTGGGAGGAAGGGAACTCTTCCTGTGCCATCTCAGTTCTGCAGGGCTGATACAAGTGCCAGGCCCAGCCTTTAAATTATGGAGAGAACTTCTACAAGGAGTAGTTGTGTTGGGTAAGATCTGGCTCTCTGAGTACGTGTTCTGAGGTTTAAACTGGTGCCAGAGACATAAAATTTGGGGTCATGTGAAAAAAACAGTTTGTCCTACTTGTAGATAAGATGGAGTCACGTTTATTGGTCTGCCTTAAGTCTGTAATCTTTCCTAAATACTGACTTCCTTCCTTCAATGCTTTTTTTGGTTTTAGTTCCCTCTGCCCTGCTTTTTCCTGTCAGTGCTCTAAGGGTCAACAAGGGTTTGCAGCCAGTGACTGGGTTCAGCTGCTGTTTTGGAATGAGACATCCTTTGGTGATGTACAGCACCCTTTATCTCTGGTATTTGCTTCCTCAAGCAACGTGTTCTCATTCTTTCATGGAGCAAAAACTTGATGGGAGGCTGCAGAGTGCCTCTGATTCCTGTCCCTTCCTTTAGAAAAGACAGCTTTCCAAGGAGTGGCATGTGGTACCTGGCTGCAGGACCTTTTGGCAGCTTAGATGGGCTTTTACATGCTTTCATTAAGGAAATCACTTCAGATAAGCAGAACTTCTAGATGCATGTTTTGGTTTGCACAGTAGTTGAAGTTGGCTGGTGTGTTGGCATTTCAAAACAAAAGTGTGTGATTCCATCAACTCCCAAAGAAAGGGAGTAGATGGAATAATACCTTGAGGGGTTTTTTCCTCCTGATGTTATTTCTAAATATTCATATTGGTATCTAAAAGCTCTAATTCTCCTCTGTCCTGTACTCTGTGTGTTTATCCTTTTGTCAAGAGTAACCCATTGAATTCACTGTGCATGTACCAACCACCCCCCTGCTATGACAAGGCAGGGACTGGGCCTTTCCCATCTTGTGACCTATTGCCAGTCAAGAATCAGACTGATCTCCTCATTGCATTTTCAAGGATCATTTTTCTGTTTGCTTTTAAGCCTCCTGACTGGTGGAGCTTCAGCCCTTTCTGCAGAACCCCCCTTAACAGCCTGGTGCAGTCCCTGTGCAGAAGCCACTTCTGGCAGCTTCAAACTGTGCTGTCTGAATTCATCCCATTGCACCTGCTCTTGAGGGAGAGGGACTCAAGAACTTGATTTTCCCCCCTCAGAATAATTTGGGAAAGCTAAATTGTACAGTGCTGTCTTCAGAAGCCTTGCAGATTCCTGCAGTGCCTTCCAAATCTCTGTCTCTGGTGCCAGGATTCCTCTGATGGCACAGTGCCTGCTTATCCCACAGCATCCATGTGGGCTCACCCAAGGCACTGTGTCTCCTTGGGGGGACAGGAAGAGATGAAAACTAACCCTTCCCTCCCCAGCTGTTTACCTAACCTTGAATTCTCAGCCCAGCTAAAACTGAAGTCCTGGGTTTGTTCTGCTTTCTGTGAAGGATTGTATAAATTAAAGCTGATGTAATGGTTTAAAACTGTTTCTTAGCAAAAGTATGGAATATTTCCATTAGTTTTCAATAAATAGTAAAAATGACACTTTTATCGATTGAAGGGCAGTTCAAGGTTAAGTTGTTGGCTGCTGTCTGTACAATATATTAAATCTTCCTGCCTGGCAGTTGTGTTGAGAACAGAGGCTGCAAAGCAAGCCTGTTGTTTTTTTGCTCTGCTGCCGAGTTTTTGCTTCAGCTGGGCTGTGTGAAAATAACAGGTAAATACTGGGCTCATGAGGGAGAGGCATGGCTTTGCCAAGAAGGGAAATGGCACAAATTTCCAAGATTTTAGGCACTCTTAAGACCCACTGAAGTGCTGGTCCTAAGCATGTTTGCAGATCAGCCTGAAAGCAGCACAGGTTTTTGTCCCTGAGTTGCTCATACAGAGGCCCAGCTGGACTGCAAGGCAGATACACACAGTTATGGGTAACAGGCTGTGATTTGTATTCTGGGGCTGTATCTTCTGTCATCTCCTAGATGCACATGACAGTAACTTACCTGTCAGTATGCTGACAGTCTTTTCTATATCTTGTCTTCTGTTTTTTTGCACAGGAAAGAAGAATGGAGATTTGGACAGGAATTTTGATACACTTGATTTGCCTAAGCGGTCTGAAGCAGCAAAAGGTAATGCTAATGTTTGTGCTTTTGGAAGTCACAAGTAGCCTGGGAGCTGGAGGCTCTTAAAGGGATGTGAGACATGAGCATATCAGGCTGATCTTTCTTTTGTAGTCAGTTAATTGTACTAATGGATGTTTCAGTGCATGCTGTTATCTGGGATTCAATCCTGGATAGAACCAGCTGTTATATAAAGCTGCTGAATTGGTGGAATCTTGCAGAAGTCTGTCTGGTTTGGTGTTAGGTGACTGTAGCTCCAGAGAGGGGGGAGTACATGCTCTCTCTCTTTACAGCTCCATTTGTACACCCCTGCACCAGACATGGCTGGAAGGAGTTGTGAAATGGGTGAAGGTGCTTAGCACTGACATTTCCCTTCCCTGGCATCCCTGGCATTCCTCAGTGTTCTCTCCATTGGAGGGGATGGCAGGGAATGAGGGGATTTGCCTTTACTGATAGTCTTCCCCTGAACACAGTATTTCTCCCTGTCTGTAGTGAGCAGGACTTGCAGTTTTCCAAAATCAGGAGGTTCACAGAACAATTCTTCAGCCCTGCCCTTCTGTATTTCAGGTCTGGCAGAGGTGAAATCTTTCCCAATCTGCATTCCCTTCATGCATGCATGGTACTTTTTTAAATTGGAGATTAGGAGGTGATTTGGGGTCTCGCTAGAATTCTTACAGCATTGGATGGTGTTTGGAGACTTGCACAGGTTTGGATTTGAAGTGTGTGTGCAGTGTCACTGCAAAGATTCAGCCATTGCCATGGCAACTGCCTCAGTGCCACCCTGCCAGCTCCCAGGGCACCCTCACCTGCATGAATACCCTCAACTACCTCAGTGTTCCTCAGAAGACAAATTTTAAACTCTTCTGCGTCACTTCCAGAATTTGGGAGAGTATAAAGAGACAGTGTGACTCAGTGGGGAGATCTATGGATGTGGGATACCTGCATTGTGCTGTTTTTGTGACCTTGATCAAATCAACTTCTTTGTGCTTCAGTTCCATTGCTGATGTCTGAGGGCAGCAAGAGAGGCCAGTCTGAGACCCTTAGAGATGTGCTGATAGTCAGGGATGGTGGGATAATTACACATATTTAGTGCTGCACTCTCACTTAAATTCACAGTGAAGCTCTGGCTGATGATATGCAAGCTAATCCTAATATATAGTACAAGCTATTCCTAATGTGTAGATGGATCTAATCTATTTACAGACACCCTTTACAGGGGATAGTTTCTAGTCTCATGTCTAAACACTCATTTTCATTTGGTGCATTACTGCACAAGATACAGTAAATCTGTTCAAGATTTAAGATCCTAATGTACCTCTTAGCAGCTGCAGTGCCATCCTGTTGGGAGAGCTGCAGGAAACTTCTCCTAACCAACTTTCCCTGGAATGCCATCAGTTCAGGGCTGGGTGTTGATTACAGTGCAGAGCATAGAGGTATCTTAAGGATGCAGAAAAAGAAAGGAATGCAAAATATAGCAAGGGCTTCAGTGTTTCCATTCCTTTCTAAATGTCATTGGAATGTAGGTGCCACTAAAGGGAAAAGATGGAAATCAAGAATTTCTGTGAAGAAATATATCTTGCCTGACTTTCTTTAAAATGAGATAAAAATCTTCCACGAGGCTGTGGTAATGCAGAAGTGATGTGGCAGATCTGATGGGAGCCATATCTGTCTCTGAGCTTACACAGCTTGTTATCTTCTTCACGTGCTAGAAATCTCACACTCTTGAAGAGGTTGTTTGATAATTTTGAGATACTCCCATTTAATCTAAGTCAAATAGACTGCATATCTCACGCTAGATAAGGTCAGGAGATTGCTCCCCATGCATTTTGAAAGAAGCCCTTTGACACAGAAAAAGGCATGAGAAATGATTCACTTGTGTGCCAAGAGTAAAAAACTCAAGTCAGTGATGCATTTTTGTTCACTTTTTTCCTGGTAGTTTCCTGCCAGGCATCTGGTTTACATGAGAGTTCCTGGATACTCAAGGTTCTAACAAGGTTGCTTGAACTTTGCACTGTTCAGTAAAATAAGGAAAATAAAATGGAAGTTTTAAAACCCTTAAGAGCTCTGGTCTGATCTCTGCCATGCAGTATAATTGCCTCTGATGAGATCAGCTCTCAGCTGAGCAGAACCTCGTTACTAAGATGGAAAAATCATGCAAGTTTTAATGATCAGAAGCACTCAGATTGAGTGACACAATGAAGTGCTATTTCAAAAATCAACAATTATAGATTAATCTCTTTCATGTATTATTAAAGCCATGTTAAAGGGAGTTTTCAGCTGGAATCTTTGTGGGCAAATGAAACTGCAGTAATAAGATTTGTTTGTGCAATGCAACAAATGAACATTGTGGTAGTGAACAAATATTGGGATGTAGTGTTAAATTTCCTGTCATCTCATAGTCAACTTCCATGGAGCTTATCTGGTGGATCTGCAGATGAGGTTTCAAGAACTTGACATCATGGTTTCCCTGCAAGACATTCTTGGGTGTGACCACTGAGCTTAGTTGAGTGTGCTTACATTGCTGGAAAAACCATGAACTAGCAGCAGCAAACTAGTTCAGACCTATTTTCTACCATCTCTGGAAACTTTTGGTCTCCAGATTACTTTAATTGTAGGAATTTCATCCTGTTCTGTAGCCAAGCATCATAAACCCAGAAACTTTTGCAGATTGTGGGTGGGGTCTGGCTGGTGTCTGTGTGGAAGGCAGAGGTTTCTCAGTCCTCCTTCAGGACACCTGTCCAGGTGATACAGTAGCTTAGGAATGTCTTCATATTCTGAACAGTCCAAAGGGTCTCGTGAGTTATGACCTAGTTTAAATGCTAGTATTTTACTTTTTTCCCTAGAATTTGTTTGTTCTGGAGAGAAATGAATGAATGAAGGCAATTCTTTTTTTCAGAGTGGTGGACTAGAGTCTCCTCCTGATTGCTCTTGGTTTTTTAATGGGAATTAGATTTTGCTGCAGCACATCATTTGAGCAGCCCTGAAACCATTTCTAAGCCTTTAATAATTTTATGTGCTAGACATTCTGGCAGGGGAAAGCTTCCAGTTCAGGGTTGTTATCTGTGGTAAACTGGATAATGTCAGATGGGAGAACTTGCAGTGCTTTCAGAAGCTGTCTCATCTGATATTAAAAAGTAAATGTATATGCTCTGGCAGTGTCCAGAGTACTGCTGTCCTGATGAGGAAAGAGTGTGGAAGAGAAGCTTCTTGTTTCCTCTCTGTTGAAAAGAGCATATTTTTTTCCTGGCGGCCAGAGAGGGAGAGGATGAATTTCGGCGGGAAGCGATAAGAGCTTGCACAGAGGAGGGAACAGCACTGACAAGAAATTATGAATGCTGTCCTCAGAACCTGCTAAATTTAGGACTTTCAGAAACTGCTGCTTCTGAGGGGAGGGGGGAAAGTCTTGCTGAAGTGCCTTCCCCGGTGTGAAGTAGGTCAGTGGCAGTGGTGCTGCCTCCTCTGCACCGGCACAGCGATGCCGAGCTCTCCCGGGCACACGTGAAATCCAGGGCACAGCACAACTCCCTGGCTTTGTCAGAGGCCCTGTCTGTGAGCAGGAGCAGCACAACTCCCTGGCTTTGACAGAGGCCCTGTGTGTGAGCAGAGCAGCACAACTCCCTGGCTTTGTCAGTCCCTGTCTGTGAGCAGGAGCAGTGACAGGAGGCTCGTGCTCTGGGGAGACATCAGGATAGATCAGGTCTGTGTGGTGGAAAGCAGTGTCTCAGGTGAGAGGCTGCTACAGGGTTTACTGAGAACAGCCAGGAGTGATGTGTGTCAGCCCTCAAAGATGCTGTAGAGGTGAGAGCATTTCATTCTCCTCATCTGGAGGTGTTGGATTGTGCACCACTGCTCCTCAGTGCTGGAGCTTGGGAGGAGAAAGTCCAGAAGAGCAGAACAGCTTTTTATATGGAATCAGCATTAGGTTATTCCTAATTAAATCCAGCTCTCTGTGCTGTTTGGCCCAAGCAGATCTCATGGCTCATTGTTCATGCACACACACATCTGATGGCAGAACAGCTGATGCTCTGTGGTGCTTTGGGTGTTGAAGTTCAGGTCTAATTTCAGTTTCTCTCATTAGGGAGCTGAAAGTTTTCAGCCATAAGGACATGTGCAGTTCCATTTTAGCCTGGTGGATGAGCTGACTCATTTTCTCCATCAAATCAGTTATTGAAGTGGTTATTAATTCATCTTTTCTGTTTTGATTATTTAAGCTTACTTCCATTTTAATGGGAATGTATTTAGGAGACAGTTGTGCTGAAATACTGAACCATGCTAAAGCTGCCTGTAATGAACAAGTCTGTTTTGTTGCACCAGGGACCTCACAGAAAAGCTGAATTCATTTGAAAGCTCAGCTTTGTGTACACACTTACCCTGGTCAGCAGCCTGTGTAGGCAGGGAATGAGATTTTGGATGAACTTGTCAGCAGGTGAATTCCTTCTTCTCCATTATCTGAAATCCTCAGTCACTTCCCATGGAGCCTGATGCTGATGATAGATTTTCTATTCCAGAAGGTGAGTGTTTAAATTCCCTTATAAATCTTTGTATTACTGCTCCAGGAAATTAGACTTCCTGGCACTGTCAGGGTAATGACTTTAACTTAGTAGATTACAAAAGTGCCAGCAATTTGTCTTCAGCTAAAGGCAACATGTAGTGAAGGAGAGAGAAACTTCACTGAAGCTTTACTCTGGCTTTAGGTTTGTAATTAAGATTGGCTGCTGTTTGCATTTCACTGCCATTTAAATCTGCTTTCTTTAAATCTTTCCAAGTTGACTCAAGCACTCACCTGCCTTTCTGCAGCTCCCTTCAATCATTAATTTTGATTGTTGTATTGTGAATAAGTGAGTAGAACCAATTGATTAATGGCACCATCCAGACCCCTCCTGTGCCTGCTGGTGGAAATGGAGGGACTGGGGAGATCTGTGACGGGGAGGAACATGTTCTTCTGTTAACATCTTTTGAGTATTTTGTGCACGTTGTTGAGAATTTCTGTTGGAATTATTAAGTATTTC